GCTCTTCAATACAATAAAATAAATATGTGTACGTTTAGCATTTTTCAACATTTATCCTATTAGAGGGTGAAATAGGGGATGAAAGTTTGTATGAGACTACCTTTTTAAAGATTTTTCGTAGTTTTAACGCGAGCGAAGCCGCGGGTTCTGCTAGTACGTTATAATTTAAACTGTGCTATAAAATAATATTTAACATATTATTACGTGTATCAAGAATTGACAGGGCTTTGTTTATTTCATTAACTTACGGAGAAACAGCATTTTTTTCATATGTATCGATAGAATTCTATTTTGGTATTTTTTGCGAAAAGCTAAATTTAAAACAGGAAATTAATTTATTGAAACAAAAAGTATACTAGTATTCTAAATATTTATGATATTAAGAAGGATGTTTTTATCCATACATATTACTAATCTAATATATTTGGCATTGTAAACTTTGCGTCAAGGTTTTCTAATATCTACAGACCAAGGCCAAGGCAGCCGCTGTCAAACTACGCGTTATCTATTCCAAACATCGCGGAAGATATTTTTAAAATAAAAAACACGAGGTAGACACGTTTTTGGTAGAACGTTAAAAAATATTATTCATATACATTTCTCTTTCTTTTCTATTTTTGAGTGTACAATAAAAAAGTTATTATTATTATTAAATAATGTTTATTACCAACGTTACCGGTATATTTATTTAAAGTAGTTTTAGTACATGATTACTTCTTACAAGTTTTTATTTAACTAGCAATGTTTGTTGGTTCGGGTCAAATTTTGCAACTGAATTTTAAAGTAGTTATCCTCAGCCGATTGAGCTGAAATTTTGCATACACGTTCAGTTTGCATGACAATGCATGGTTAGCTAAGTGACGTCATTCTAAATTCAATATGGCGGACTCCCAAAGATAGTGGACTTTTTTTATACACCCCCATGATATGGATATTAAAGGAAAATGCCGAGAAGAATACGAATAAAATAAAACTTAAAAAATAAAAAAATAACTTAAAATCTTGTACTGTTATTGCATATTTAACTTATCATTTATCATAGAGCTGTCGTAAATAAAATCATTTATTTATATATTTTTTTGTCATTGTAGATCATATGTCACTAAAATTTAATTTTTATGTAAATTTATACCAAGTAGTAGATTTCAAAGTTTAAGCTGAGTACGTATATATAGAACAGCGTTTACGTATTGATTTTTTGTCTACGCGACGCCCCCGCAAATAGTGCTGGGTAACTACAATAAGTATCTACTTAGGTAGATTTACTGACTTTAGAGTCATAAAATTTGTTTCAGTAAATATATATTATTAACAATATTTACTCGAATAAATAATTATTATTATTCATTACATACTTAATAAACTTTACAACATAAACATCGAATTAACTTTGAAATTAACAAAATCGTATTTCTTTGTTACAACGCTAATAATAAGCTTAAAGAGTAGAGTTTCCGGGTCATATTTATTTTTGTGTAGCTCCTGACTTCTCTGATGTGATTATTTTTATCTAGACGTCAAGTTTAAATATTCTTTTAGTGTAGTTATATGTAATACCTACTGTATAGTTTTTAAACTGTTAGAATTCAATATTACAAGTATCTACAGTGTGCCTGCTTTTTACATACTTATAAGCGCATAGAATATGGTAGGTGGCTGATTCTACGATTTCGATCCAATTCGGTAAAAATGAGAGAAATTATTAGATTTTCAAAATTTTGATATATTTTGAAAAAATGACTATAAACAAGTAAGGAATAACTTTTTTTTTTAATTGCACCTATAAATAGCGAAGATATAGGCCTTTGGTTTTTTATTATTATTACGGTAATGATTTTTAGGGTAACGGTTATGACTACGTTGTGACGGTAATGACATAGTGACTACTAGTAATGACATTGCTTGCTATCCAATTTCTTTTAAATAAAACACCATATTTTCCTATTCCTTCATTTATTTTCTGTATATAATTATTAGCTCTACAGGTTTACATAATCATATTATAAAAATATATTGTAACATAACCTCGTTTTTGGAATCAGTTCCTAACAATAGCACATTTCATCAACTTGTGTAACAGTCTTCAATCTGAAAAAATTAAACTTATTTATGACTTATTCAGTTTAGCAATTACCGTGTACTTAATTAAGGTTATTACTTTGACTGCTATTAAATCACAGTGTATTTAATCAAATCAGTTTTTATTTAGGGATTTAATCAAAAGGTCCATGTTTACATGTAATATGCAAGAACAAGTATTTCTATTAGATTCTTTTGGGAACACTACCCAAAATAGACGATATTTGCAGAATGTTAAATATCCAACTTCACTGTCGTGAGTCTTAAGAAATTTCGCATGCAAATTTGTCAGTGTATCGGTTAGGTACCGCTTCTGCATAACTAATCCAGCTATTTTTTTAAATTCTTTTTTATCCGCTGCTATTCTGCTGTTACTATCATCTTCGAAAAAATTTTCAATCTCCTGTTTAATTTGCTTTATTATTTTCTTTAGTTTTTTGTTATTTTACCGTAAATGAAGTTATAGTATTCAAAATTTTGTGTTTATTGAAGTCTTCTTTGACAAATAAATGGCTAAATTTGCGTTTATCATTTTTTGGCATAATTTTGTATCCAGGTTTCATTTTTCTAGTAACGATTTCACTAAAAATAAGTCTTTTCTTTACCTCTTCTTTTTAACTTTCTTCTATATTCTCAACTAAACCTAGTACTTTCTGTTCTGTCGATAGATTATTTACTTGCGATTTTCTTTGGTCTTTGATGAATCTATGTAAAGTTCTCTGCATTCCTGCCTTCTTTTTTTGTGTTTCTTTTAAGTCTCTTTTCGGTTCTAACATTCTTTTATGATATACGAGTACATCGTTTTTAATGCAATCAGTACAAACATTTGGATTTGTTATTTTATTATTGAAGTGAGATTGCTCGCTTCAAAGATGTGCGCCAATGGTCCTTCTAAAGGATCTACAACTGCTGCGGGTACTGGATCTAGATCACTGCCATGGGGAGAATTGTCAATCAATTGCGCTAGTGTTCTTTCTTTTTTCTTTTTTTCCAAATAGCGTTTGCAACTCTCTCTCCAATTTCTTCTTTTTTGACGCTGTTCCTTAGGAGTTCTCTCTTCTTCGTATCTCTAATAATTTTAAGTATATTTTGCTCTCTTCACTGTAAATATCTTAATCTTTCTTTTTCAATTGAATATTTTTCTGGATCTTCTTTTATGTCTGCGTATTTTAGCCTCTAATAAAGTCGAGCGTGAGCCAATTTTTACTCACGGGTTTTCTTGGTCTTGATTTGTCATAATTTTACCTTAAAGGAGAGAAAAATCGTCAGGCATTAAGCAATAACATTACGTTAAAACCCTGGAAGAAACTTAAGAAAATAGTATAGCGAAAAACATTTCAAAACAAAAACGAGAAAATATATTAAATATATTATAAATGTTCTTCACTGTTAAATTTATGGTGGACTAGCTTTTACCCGCAGCTCCGTTCCTATGACATAGAGTACATGACTACGATAAAAGTACTCTTAGCCATATTTTGGACATAAGACTATCCCTACTTAAAAAACCATGTTAATACACAAAATATTAGTAGCAATGGTGATTAAAATTTTGAGCTACTGCATTGTTTTGTTGGATTATACATATTAATCAACCTAACTTTATCTAACTTGCGTATTTTAACAAAAACAAGAAAAATAAAAAATAAATCAAGTCTGGATCATCACCATTACTTTTGCGTCATTACCTTTACACTTTAAAACTGATGGTAATTGATGGTAGTGACTAAGAGGGTAGTGACGTTTTGTGTCATTTTTATTTTTAATTCCGTTATTATAAATGTAAAAAAATATATAAATTTACTCGTAAAAATTGAACTAAGGACGAACATTGTAGACGTATTAAATAAACATAAATAAATTTACTCACCCGAAATATTTTGGTTACGGTAAAGACCACCAAAGTGTGACAAACGTGATTTCTAACAACACTAACGTAAATATATTTTTTCACTCAAACGCACGGGTTTCTCCGTCGGGTTCTCTTGGTCGTCTGAGCTGTGCGGAAGCGAACGGGATAAGCGAGAAGATAGTAGGATGTACACGTAAAAACATATTTGAATTTCCTCTCCGGCTTACGGAAATGACATTTTTTTCGTGACAAAGATAATTATATTGTTTTAAAAATAACTTAACGTTTTGTATATTTATATAGGATAAAAATGTCAACTTTACAATTGGCTTAACGCAATAAATAAATTATAGGTATATGAAACTGTTATTTCATTGAAATTTAAAATTGTTTTCTTTTGTAGTCACGTTGAGGACACTGAAGGTGGTGACATTTTGGCATTAAAATATTTTTTTTCTTTTTATGGACTTACTTTTTTACTGTCGCATTTTAGTGTACTAGCTAGATAAGTGTAATTAGGTTGCATTACAGTTATTAAATTGCTCGAAATGTAGATATTTATTTTTTTGCACTATAAAACATGCGATTGGCGTGAAATCAGAGAAATACCCAGGTTACTGTAAAAAAATAGTTCTACTCTGCTCGTCGAAACGAAGCTATCTTTTTATTAATTAAATGTATCATAAAATATCTCACGACTTCAATTCGTCAACAAACAATAGAAAAAACATAAATCGTCATAATTATTCTCCAAATACATTTTTCTTTCAAAAACACTTATTATGCATCTATTATTATGTTACCCATCACACGTTTTATTATACGAATTTGACTGCAGGTAGATTGTGATATCTTAAGATTAAATCCTAGGCTCTCACTAATATACTCATGCTGGGTTAATGCCGTGACACCTTTTGTTGGCCTCGTCCCTTAGATATCTACTAGAATATCTCCCTCGTGCAGGCTTTTCTAAATGACAATTCAGACCCTCAAGTCAATAAAACAGTTAAAGTTAAGTTTAAGTATCATTTTAAGTTATTAATTAATATTTTTTATACTATGTCCACAGAGGAGATCATACAGAAGTTATAGAGTTAGACTTCGATCCAAAGACCTTAACTTATGAAGAACTCCTCGACATGTTTTGGGCTAACCACGAGTACGGACTCACTACTAAACTAAAAAGACAGGTAAATATTCAGATAAGTGAAAGAGTAACAAACATCCATACATACTCACAAACTCACATTTATAATATTTACCGCAATCTGCTAATCGCTGAGATTCTTCCGAACGTTATCAATTCATTTCATATTTAACCTAATCTTGCATAGTTTAACTACGATGATTATAGTCATAAAACAATATGTTACTCCATTGCGATTATGTTGAGCAGATTTATAGGACTAATGTAACTAGATCTCGTTTATAGGATATTTTAAGATGTTGGATTAATTTTATAACTGATTACAAAGAGACTATTCAACTTTGCAATTAATACTATGCCTTATCTATGAAATAACAGCCATTTTATTTACATTTTTGATTACGTGTTCACGTTTGGTATAGATTTCTCAGAGATGAGGTATTTTGCCGCAATAAAAGGTATCTTATATGTTAACCCAAATAACCAGCTATCATCATACCAAATTTCATGAAAATCTGTCCAGTGGTTTTCTCGTGATGCGTTCCTAGATAGACAGATAGACAAAAATTCTAAAAACCATTATATCGGCCTGTGTATCGATAATAATGAATATTTAAATAATATTTCCCTAAAAATATTTAATTAACAGATTCGAATCAGAACTTTATTATACGAGTATGTAGGTAAAGATATTTTTTTACATTCATTTATTAATAATTATTATTCGTAAACTATTATATTCACTGGTAATCTGCTCAATGAATTTTGCATTGTGAAAAGAATATATTTTATGTTATATCGAAAGTAGATATAATAGTTGTCTTAATCATTACAAATACTTACATATTATATAATAAAAAAACATTTATAAGTGTTACATTTTACTTAATATAAAAGAAATCGTTATATACTAAGCATTCATTCATCTTCGGCACTAAAATTGTATTTCTTAATTTCAGTACCAATCTATGATCCTATACCATGATGAAGAACAGCGTGAGAAGGCAGAGGCGTCACACAAAGCTATGCAAGTCCGATGCAATGGGCAGCTGCGGACAGAAATCGCACCTGCAGGCATTTTTTATCCCGCTGAAAAGTAAGTTGACTAGGAACGGATCTTGTTGCTGTCAGGATCTCCAAAATGTTAAATTATCGTTTCAATACTCTACTTTATCCAAACTCACTGATATCAATATCTTCTTACTTTGCTAAGTTTAACAACATTAAAACTCGTGAGCTTCTGACTGAAATAGATTCCTTCAGTAATTGCAGGATGTAATTAGTATGTGGCAAAAGAGTCCTGCTCAACAAGCAGTATATTTTATGCAACATATAATGTATACATAGATAGCATAGATAATCTCTGGATCTACTAAACCGATTTAGATACAATTCGGTAAGATAGTTTGAGACCCTGGGAAGGACATAGGATACTTTTTATCCCTGAAATCATCGCTTAAGGGGCTGAAAATGGGGATGAAAGTTTGTATGGGGAATCGAGCTAGGGACGAACCCCAGCGAAGTGAGGGTGAGTCGCTATTCAGTCATATGAGTACAATCGAAAATTGTAATATTTTAGTATAAAAATATGTAAATGTAATTTTTATCACTATCATCATATTCAGTATACTAAGTTGCACTTCTAGTGCAAATAAGAAGACCTTGCAAAAACATCAAACCTGGTAACGAAGTATGAATATTCAGATGGTATATATTGCATAAAGTTAACTGTCAATTATTACAATAATTATGTCACGGCCGATTCCTTTTAAATAATCGTCAATTGTATGAATTAACCTTCATTTTAGATGCTATAGATTTTCCTGCGTTAGCTACATAGGTGCATATGTCATTCGCACTATACGAAATGTAAAATCTATCGATGATAAGTTTTTTACATTTTAGATTTCTTGAAGATTAACTTATGTTTAGTTTTTTCTTGTCATATTTAAAACTTAGATTAATAGAACTTTTGTTTGAAATTCAAACTTCGTTAGATAATTTGGCTAAATAACGTGAAACTCTTACCTAGTACCATAACCTTCCTACTATATTTTTGATCAAATTATTACTGAAACATACTAATAAAAATATTTCATACTATTATATACTTAATATGTAATATTTGAAAGAAAATATAAAAATACGCTAATAATAACTCACATTTTTGTGATAGTCTTGAATTATTTTTTTCATTTAATTCAACAAAGAAAAAGGGTAAAAGTTCAATTCATGTTTTAAACACGTGAACGGTCGTGTGACTTGTTTGATGAAAATGCATTCGAGCTTTGATATATTTGATCTCAAGATCAATACATATTTATTGTTTAGCCATTCAAACCATACGTAATATGCACCTATTGAGTTTACATGATCGACTCTTACCCACAATAAATTAATGCTGTTAACACATAATTTTAAGACATTACATTACATTTTAAATAAAACTATCTTTTCGGATTATTTCGCGGATTTATTTAGATTTTTGGTTCCCGCCGTTTCGAATGCTTTACAGCAATCATGGTCACGGGAGAGACTGAGGTGTTAGATGTCTCGAAGGTATAGTTGTTACAGATAGATAGTTTTATTTAAAATGTCAAATATTCGCGTAAATCTAAGAAAGTATTACATTACATTACATTTAAATGTACGTTAAATATTTACTTTAATTTATCTTTTAACTTTACATTATACATATAATACTCCTCAGACTAAGGAATAACATAGAGAGTGTTATGGAACTACACATGAAGCAAAACAAAACATTTTTTTTTAAATAATATAGGAAAATCGGAATACAAACATTTATAGAATATTAATAAATATATACGGTGATGGATAACATTTTGAGGAAACCTGCATGTGTGAGAGAGAGTTTTCGAAAGACATGTGAAGTCCGCCAACCCGCACTTGTCCAGCGTGGTGGACTATGGCCTGATCTCCCTTGCATTGAAGCGAGGCATGTGTCCAGCAGTGGGACGTTAAAAAGGGTTGAATACAAACATATATATGTATATAGAATATTTCAAAAATTAATTTAAACTAAAAAAAGTTGACCGTGATAGCGAGCGGTAATTTTTTAAAAAGTTGATATAATCTAAGCTTTAAGCATTTATATAATATTAGCCACTATCCCATGGGAACCATACATTTTTACGGGATAAAAAGTAACCTATGTGTTATTCCAGACCACCTATATTGTATCCCTGTTCCAAATTTCATCCAGATCCGTTCAGCCGTCCTGGCGTGATTGAGTAACGAACATCCATCCATCCAAATTTTCGCATTTATAATATTTACCTATGGGATTAATTGCATTTTAAAGACTTTACCTTACAATTATATAAAATGATCGTTTTTTTATCTTTATTTAAAGCTACCACCAGAAATATAGACTTCAAGGTCACAAAGATCTATGCAGAAGCTTGGGTCTTGATGCTTCAAAATTACAAACTTCACACTTGGCGGCGCGCCTCAATGGCTACCTCGTAGGAGTTGGCGGGAAAGCACAGTTCGAACAAGAAGTAGTTCGTTTAGGCCTGAGCGAGAAACAAGCGGAATATGTACGGCGTGAATTGGAACGCAATGAGGGTGGCGGCCTTGCGTGCTAGATTATTAAGCTGGCTCTACACATATGTACCAAAAAATATTTAACTGTCTAAAAATGTCCATATTTTGTCAAATTTTAAACAGCTTCTAATTAAAAGTTAATAATATCTCCAGTCTACGCAATAAAACAATGTCTATTAAGTATATATTATTTTGAAATAAAACTGTACACGTGTTGAGCTTGCCATGTTGCTGCTAGAAGTATTAGCACAGAATAACACAGTATCAAACTATTACATATTCTGTGTATTTGTGATTTTTTATTTTTAATAATCATATAAGTACATACGTATAAGCGGCAGCCTTGCATTTTAAGTTTTTATTGAATGATTTTAATTTCGTCTCATTCCATTATACTCTCGTATATTGTATCAAAAACATATATTATTTTGTATTAATGGTTTTTTAATACAAGCGCAATTAGTTTACAGTATTTTAAATACTGCACTAAATAAACAGTAAATATGTCAAAATATTTCATGAGCTATCTATTATATGAAATTATTCGAATACGAGAGAGAGTAGGTAATCTAGAAATATTATGTAACTCCGCGTACATTATTTAATTTTAAAAGATAATTTTAATTTCTCATAATATATGATTTTTGTTTTATTTTAACCTGCCTTCTGTCTTGTAAAATTGTGAATTGCCATTTATTTTAATGAAAATTTGATAAAGAACATTTATCCATATTGAGTGACATTATACTATACTAGTACAGATACTTATAACTTATTTATATCTTTTCTCCTATGAATTTAATATATGTAAATGTATCAATAAAATCCATATATTATTTAACGCCATCCATTGATATTTATTATTTCTTGAGCTCGTCCGCGCTTCCGTAAAAACGAAATTGTCAGGACCTCCAGGTTCCAATTATAAAGATTTATCCCACCAAAAATATTTTTATGTAAAATGTTGCCAAGACGAGACCATATGGCTTGCACTGTTAAAAATTATTAGATCTAATGTAGAGCCAAGCTTCTAACTCTACACGCCCTAACTTCACAAACTCTACACCTTAGTCTAAATATGTGGCTTGGCCGTATCGTTACTACATAAAGTATTGTATAACAGAAAAGTAATGAACAGTGAATATATTTTCCACCCATGTGAAGGTAGCGAATCGGCCAAGCAACATATTTTGACAAAGGCGTAGAGTTTGTGAAGTTAGGTCTGGTAGAGTTGCTAAAACTTTATATGTTTAATAAGTCCACTTTTGACATCATATCTTGAGAATTTTGCTTATCTGGTATAATACAAACCCAAGTTATGAGGGTTCAAAAAAACGACCAAGCGCTTCGAGAAAAGGTAGGTAGTGCCCTTGCGCTTAGCTTGGCTCGTCTTGGCGGTATACACGGTAGATACACGACAGTGAAACATGCAGTCGTCATCGTAAATATTTAAAAAAAACTTATAACCATGAAGTGGATTTTAATAACGTAAACTACCAGCGTGAAATTAAAGATATAAAATTATTCAAAAACTGTGGATAAAAATACTATGCACCCTTTGAATATTTTATTTTAATAAAAAAAAACGATACTTTTCTGTTACTTTTGTTAAATACTGTATGTCCTGAAATATTTGGATCAATTCTATAATAGATTTAACTCAAATAATATATCGACTTCAAAATAAAGATTAGTATTGACCATTAAAACTAACAATGTAAACATCAAATATGGTAACGCTGTCTGTTTGTCCACGTTTTACGCTTATGCCGCTGAACAGATTTCGATGAAATTTAGCAATGACATCGACTGCTTCGTGGGGACGGACATAGGCTATTTTTTTAACTCTACCTATGACATCGCCGCCATATCTGATACCACGCGAGTGATCTAAAGACGGGCAAAAACTAGTTATGGGCAAGGCGATGTACACGAGGTATATATTGCCTGAAAAATATGTTAAGGATATTTTTTTATAACTGGGTAGGTATACAGTAACACGAGCATTTATTTTAAAATGTACAATTACCGCCATCTTATGCCTCTGTACAAATATACTTTGATTTTGCTGGATCACTTAAGAATGTTTGATATTGTTTTAATAAAGTTCATCAATTTTCTACTAGATGACGCTACTTATGAAAATATAGACAGAAAAAGAAAATAATTCATTGAAATGGAGATAGATAGCGTACCATGTCTTATACTAATCAGTAATTTTAAAAACTTCCAAGCAATCCTACTAATATGCGAAAGTTTTTGAGGATGTATCCAGGATGTGGATGTTTGTTAGTCTTTCACGCAAAAAATACTGAATAGATTTTAATGAAATTACAATAATATAGTTCACAGTCATACATCAGAATAACACATAAGCATATTTTATCCTGGAAAAATGTACGGTTCCCGTGGGATAGATCTTATTGTTTTCTAGAGGCGCACTCGAGCGAAGCTAGTGACTCGCTTGTAGAAAATAAAATCCCTAATGGGTTCTTAAATCAAATTAACATTGATTATCAATTCAATTTTCAAGTATTAGGTCATTTTACTATTAAGTAATGTTTTTCGGTTTTTGATTTTCCTTTATTTTAGTATAGATTATTTATTGTTAAAGCAGCTGTAAGATCTTGGCCTATGATTTTTTTATAAAATATTAATTAACCTGTTTTTTGAAAGACATGCAATCTGTCAACTTGCCCTTGGCCAATGTGGTGGGCTAGGCCTAAATGCATTAAATGATCATAGTTTATACTACTGTTATAAAATTGTATCTCGTTATTAATTTTAGCTAAAAAAACTGGTTTGTTGTCCAAGTTAACTGTAATGTGAAACTTTTCTATGTAAATTCCGGAAAACAATACATATTTGATACCAACGAGCTCATGATGATGGGGACGATAGAGATGGATTGTGGAATTCTAAAATATCTACGAGCCCCATAAATTTCTAGATTTGGTCAAAATGTTTATAATATTACAATATTATTTGTATCAAACAAAAACGTAAGTCTCTATTAGTTCGTCGATAATAATTACTAACGAATATTCTGACTCAAAATAATTAATGAATGGGCAATGCGAGCAGAACGATAAAAACAAGTTTATAATACAATTAAAATTGCCAATGACATCACTTATATTTTAATTAGAGTTGTTGAAATAATAAATTTTACCTTAAGGGCCACTCCCAGGAAATTTCTTAGTTTATATGTTTTAAATATTAGCAGACGTGAAATACAACAAAAACTACTTGACTTTTCTTAAACAAATTTTATTTATATTTTCTGTTCTGTTCTATACAATATCGAAATATTTTAAGACCAAATAATATTAAATTTAATGATAAAGAAATAAAACCTACTAGCCTAATCAAAAAAATATGAACCATGTGGAATACTGCCCCATAAAAACAAAAATCTTAGAAATTCTAGAAGTAATAGTAACATAAAAATATTTATAACTTACGCAAGTGCATGAAACACAAATTGGTAAAGCAACGAGTACCTACTTTAGATTGACTCATTTAACTTAATGGAAAAGCAATGTCACTCAACCGCGTAATCGGTGTTGTATTACGAGTATTAATCCTTTGGTACACTATGGAAGCTTATTATTTTGCTTACGTAATCGATATATCTATACATATAATAAAATTGTAACTAAGCCGAATCTGCGAATCTGTATATTAGATAATTTTTGGAAAATCTTATTGAAATAAGCATTAAAAAATTATTATCGATACAGAGGGCGAATCTAGTTTTTAGAATTTTTGTCTGTCTGTCTGTCTGTCTGTTACCGCATCACAGAAAAACTACTGGAGGGAATTTGATGAAATTTGGTATGGTGATAGCTGGTTATTTTTTTTTTTTTTTATGTTGGGAAATGCATTTACGCATACCACCTGATCCCCCAGGTGGTGATGTGGGGCTCACCGACTAGAAGAGCCGGTACTACCCACTAAAACCCGACATTCCCCTCCCCTCCGCCTTAATGGGACGCCGCAGGATCGCTTGCGCATAACTACTACGGCGCCCCGGCGGCAGGTCTGCCTAAATAGGCAGACCACCAAACCAATGGGGCTGCTCCACAGTCAACTCTGCTACGCCAGAGAGGTACCCGGAGTACCCGGAGCAGCCCCATTAAACCTAACCACCGCCCAACGATGTGGGCCACCTCCAATCGGCTGCAGAGGACAGGGAGAGCGGCAACGAAACACCGACACTCCTCTTCCCCTGCAGCCCCACCGCGTCCGCCATCAAACGGTGGCGGCCCCGTCTAGGCCGCGGAAGGTAGGGAGAACGGCGCACCGAAATACCGGCACTCCTCTCCCGCCGCGGCCTACTCCTCCGCCGGATGCGGGCCTGCGACCACAGTCCCGCAACCGGCACCCATCATCCGGTTGTGGGACCAAGCGGTCCCACCACCGGTGGCCGCAACGTCTTCGGCTCGAGTCCTAGACGAGCGGCCCCACCCAAGCCATTTGGTCCGCGCCGGATTTCTCCGGTACCACCCGCCGCCCTAAGCGGGTGGCATTCCCCTATCCGCCACCTGGGGACGCGCCCGGTAGGAGTTGGCTTCTCCCCCGGGATAGCTGGTTATCCGGGTCAACATATAGGATACTTTTTACTACAGGAAAATATCTCATTTCTGAGAAAAAATACAAATACTGTAATGTAAGAGTATACTAATATGTAAAACCTAAGAATTTGGTTTTTGGTCATCTGAACACAGGCGGAGCCGCGGGCAATGTTAGTTATATTATATTTCTATAATCTTTTCGCTTAATAAAACAGTCTTGCATAATATAAGTACGTCGTTTAATAGCTAACGTTTTTTTTTGTTTTTAAGACATTTTAGTGGAAAAAAGTCTCAAAAAAAGTATTGAAATAACATCGTTTTTCGTATCCCATTTTTAAATTTGGACCAATAATTGTCTTTTAATATTGATAGATAAGCAGTGTTTTGTTTTTTATAAATCAGAAGAAAAAATGAGATTTAAATTAATACTTTTTTTATAAATTTTTGATGTTGCAGTTTAG